TTTCGTAGCTAAAAAAAAAAATCTCCGCGATTACAATGATAAAAATAAATGTAAATTCAATACTTTCGCCATCGAAAATTATGATTTGGACAGTGACAAAAAAATATCAGACCTCAGGTCTTGCACCCTAAGTACGTTTCTGGCTATTGGATTTTTATAATGTAGGTGTTTTATGTTAAAAGAAAACATAGTCGCAGCAGATAACAAAAATTTTCAAAGGTAACCATATTTTTTGTTAACCATATTTTCAACAGCCAACAGAAAATCGATAAATTATTAAATTTAAATTGATTACAACCAAAATCTATGAACTACTACTAATTAATATACTAAATACAAAACAAAGTCAAATAATTAACAAATTTAACAGTATAATATGATTGTAACAATGTACGGGTTCATCGCCGTATTACGCTGTCAATCCTTTGTTATTTTGGACTAGATATAAAGTCCAAAACCAAACTTAATTTCATTGAAACTTCACCGTGGCTCTCTTCACTTGGGGCCACGCTGCTTTGTATTCGTCCTAGTAAAAAATTCTTCCGATATTTCGGTATCAAGAACTGAAAATTTTTGAATCCCAGTTGTTATTATAAAACCAGTAAAGAAAGTCCTTAAGTCGGGCGGGGCCGACTTTATGATACCCTACACCACTTTGCTAATTTAGTAGAGCTCCGCATAACAATTAGAAGTTTTTATGGGAGAATTCAATCATACATGCTACGATTATAATTATAATTTAAATTTCAAAGGACTAAATATGCCGAAGCATGTGTATCTTTTACATTCGGACTTGTATTGCCCATTTGGTGCAAAATTAATTTGAAATCAGTAAAAGATGTATATGGGAGCTATATCCAAATCTGAACCGATCTCGATAAAATTTGGCAAAGATATTTCTGAGCTGTATTTGATATATTTTCCCTGAATATCGTTGTTACGGAGTGCATATTACGGCTGTGGCTAACAAATACAACAAATCGGATGAACAATATATATGGGAGCTATAGCTATATCAGAACCGATCTTCACCAAATTTGGCATACTAGCTTCTAGACTCAATTCCATCGTATGTGCCAAATTCCATCCCATTTGGGCGTTTTGTGCACAATAAAAGGTAAATCGGACGAAGTTATATATGGGAGCTATATCCAAATCTGAACCGATATCGAAAAAATTTATCAAAGGTATTTCTGAGCTGCATTTGATATATTTCCCCAAATATTGTTTTTACGGAGTGCTGCTACGGCTGCGGAGGACAAATAAATAACAAATCGGATGAACAATATATATATGGGAGCTATAGCTATATCTGAACCGATTTCGCTCAAATTTGGCATACTTATTTTAAGGCCTAATTTGGTTGTATGTACAAAATTCCACACTATTCGGGCTGATATTACACGTTTGGTGCACAATAAAAGGCAAATCGGACGAAGATATATATGGGAGCTATATCTAAATTTTTACCGATTATCTCCAATTTCAATAGGGTTCGTCCTTGGGCCAATCAAATGTTGTTTGGAAAATTTCATCTCAATCGCAGGAATACATGGACAGACGGACGGACGGACTGACATGCATAAATCAACTCAGAAAGTGATTCTATGGAAATCCTTAAAAGTAACTATGGGTCTATCTCGCTTCCTTCTCCATGTTACAAACAAATGCACAAAGACATAATACCCTTACCACTATGTGGTGTAGGGTATAATCAGGGAGATTTAATGGATATAAGAATTTAATCTCTTTCCATATGGAGTTTACAATCATATACAGATACAGTGAGCCTGATTCTGGGGAGCATTATGAGAAGCGGTAACGATAAAACACTGCTCTCTGTGGTAGTTAATTCTGAATCTAAGTACCATAAATTACTACACCTTTAGAGAAGAACCTACATAAACTTCTCCTACTCTACGGAACTTATTCCTTCAATATGTCTTTGAAGGGAGAGATATATACTTTAGCTTCTACAATTAAACGTAGAACCCATAAACTAAATATATAAATGATTTATGTGTTTATTTCTCTTACGAGTCGAGCTTAATGATCTGAAATTTTTGCAGTGAAAAGGAAAGCCAGATAGACACTATCATACACATACACCACTATGCGACACGTTTCGCCGTTGGTTAAGCGGCTCATCAGGCATATTTTGTGTGGATGATGGCTTACAAGGAAAGTAGTATTTATTTCGAACTTGTTGCGATTATTGATTGGCGTAAAATTCTGTGTCCATGTCTGGAAATCTGACCGTTCCACTGTTGAAATTGAGCTCGTCCTATTTTATATAATATAAATTTTCCACAGCGACTGATATTATTCCTAATGGGTGTGTGTGGAATTCAAAATATAAGTGTACCTCCTTATTTCATTTAAAAAAAAGTTTTGCTCAGTCGACCTTAGCGTCATTTTTACTTGTTTTTTTTTTTCCTCCCAGATGTCTATTAACAGAGTGATCGGAATACATTCTGCTTGGGAAATAATGCGTCGTCGAATGACAAAACAGCTCGGTGGGAGTTTCTTTTGGCATCTAACCAGACCAATATAATTCGTAATGAAAATGCAGATAGCGTATCTGAATTAGATTCCCTGTTTTGTTATCTGAAAATAAAAACAAATGAGTCATTGGCGATTCAAAAAAAAGACACTCTTAAAGTCAGTTACCTTCAAAATAAAAGGAATCCACAATGAGAGTAGCTCCTTGTTTAAGTAGGGCTCCATCTATCCATCTAGTAGGGCTAATTCTGTGTTTCTCAATTTCCAAGGGTTTTTGTTTTAAATATTAATACTTCTGGATATCTAAATCCCGGGTGAGATAAAAAACTGCAATAAAGTCAAACTCCATAATGTTTACATTTTTTTTTAATTTTATTGAATGAAAGCAAAAAATCTCGGAAATAGCATCAAATTTTAGAAAAAGTTTAGATTTGTTCGAATTGGTCACATTTGGCATGAATTATGGCCTTCAAAGGGCCAATGAAACCGTCACACACTACCCGAATGTTGCTCTACGGTATTTTGGCTCATTCCCTACGAAGCGCTTGCTGAGTGATCGACACTTTGGTATTTTTTAGTGCCAACCTTGCTTTCCGAAAAATACTCCAGACACAATAGTCCAACGGATTGGTATCCGGAGATTTTGGTGGCCATTATGCGTTGGAAATTAAGCGAGGAACGTCATTTTGTAACCATTCTTGGGTGGTGCGTGCTGAGTCCTGCTAGCATGTCGAAGGCCTGCGGCCAAAATGTTTGCGTGCCAAAGGCTTTAATACACCCTGCAGAATATTTTCGCTATAATATTCGACATTAATTCTGATGCCATGGTAGATTAATACGAGCGGAGAGCGACCGTCGGCTGTCATGGCGGTCCACACCATCACCATGGCCGTTGCTTGAGTTCTGGTGGCCAACCGAAGGTGCACATTTTCCGCTGACCTCTTTGGCAAGTAAACACGATCATTATGTTTGTTTACAAAATGCTGGACAACAAATGTTTTCTCATCGGAGAAAACCAAATTCGGCACTTTACCACTTTCGGCCAAGCGAAGCAACTCTTTAACTCTTTTGAGTCTATTTGGAATTTGCCAATGGCTTTATCCCTAGCTCATTTCTCAATATTTTCCGAATGGAATATTGCGATACGTTCAGCTCACGAGCCATTTTTCGGCCACTGCGATGCGGGCTTCGATCAAGACGCTTCTTTACTTTTCGAACCATTTCCGCTGATGTTGCTATTTTCTTTCGTCCACTTCCTTGACGTCGGGCTACGTTACCAGTATCACGGTAACGAGCGATGGTACGAAACACAAACGATTTATTCACATTTAAATGCTGGAGTGCTCTAACGATGGCCACTTTTGGTTTTCCAGCCAAATATAAAGAAATCACACTGTCACGCTTGAATTCCATTACGAATTAATTTTTTTCTGGAAAATTCTCACCAAAATGCTTTTGTACGCTTATAATAAGCTGTCACTGGAATAATTGTAACAGCTATCGGACGAGTGGCTTAGAAATGACAGCAGTCTGAGGTTTGTTGCAGTCTCTGGAATAATTTTAACAGCTTTCGGACGAGTGGCTTAGAATTGACAGCAGTCTGAAGTTGGTTCCAGTTTTTTCATCTCACCCTGTATATACTGATTCAATGGATTAAAAAAAAACAAACATTTTTTTCTAATTTTGTAACCTGTTATAGCCGTATTGAACAGTCTGGACACAAAAAAATTTGTCTGAATTATGACTTTGTTTTGTATTTTCGAATTCGACTTGGCAACATAACCTAACACCTTTTTTTCGCCATTAACATTAACATTTCTCTCAAAACACTTCCTTACGAAATAAATTAACAAAAAAAAAACAATAACATTTCCATTAATCCATAATAAAATAAATAAAATTCTACCATTTTAAAAGCTTTGTAAAATATTGCAATATTTTGTTAATGCAACTACGCAGCAAATATCGATGCAAAATAAGAAATTCGGCGATGATGATGCTGTTGCTGCTGCTGCCGTTTGCCGCCGATGATGACAAATACAAAAAGAAGAACATTTTTCCGTTTCTTGTTTTGGTTATTTTGGCATTTTTGGTATACTGTTTTTATTTTTTCCTTTTTTTTTTCTTTCTTCGCTGATTATGAAAATATTTATTCTACCTCCAATTAACGCTGAATGAATGTATGTATGTATATAAGCAGCAAAAATATAATGGCTATATATATTTTCGATATACATATAATATATAAACAATTCCTATAAATGTATATAATAAGCGAGTGAACGTCTTCAAATTTTGTCAATCACAACAATTTCATCCATTTCAATGGTGTTCGAATAGACAAACGGCTCACCGACTTGTATATTTTTATCGACATCATAATCGAAACGCATTGATTGATATCCTACCACCACCCACCGCCATCATCATCGTCGTCGTCGATTGATTGATTTTCAAAAATTAATTTTTTTTTATATTTTTTTGATTTAAAAAAACAGTTCCTGCACCTCCACCATTGCCCTCGCTGGTGCCCAAGGCTCCACCACCACCACCGCCACCATTGGGAGCCGCTGGGGATAAGAAGTTAACGGAAGCCCAGAAACAGGCATTGGAGAAACTGAAGTAAGTATAAAATTGCATAAACCTTACCACTACAGAGGGGCGTCAGGGAGGGAGATTTAATAGAAGAGCTGAGATGAGTCTTAATAAACGGGCTGGAGGGAGTCATCATAGACGAGCTGGGGGAAGTCTATGTGCAAGCTAGCAGCTTAATAGAAGAGCAGAGGGAAGTATTTATGGACGATCTGGAGGGGGTCTTTACTGACGTGCTAAGGAGAGTCCTTACAGATGAGTTGAGGAAACGATCGAAAGGAAGTCTTTATAAACGAACCGTAGGGAGTCTTTATAGACGATCGAAAGGGTGTCTTTATAGGCGATCGAAAGGGAGTCTTTGTAGACGATCCGGAGAGAGCCTTTATATACGAGCTGTAGAGAGTCTTTATATACGAGCGGGAAGAGAGTTTTTATGGACGAGTAGGAAGAGAGTCTTTATAGGCAATCGAAAGGGAGTCTTTGTAGACGAACCAGAGAGAGCCTTTATATACGAGCTGGAGAGAGCCTTTACATACGAGCTTGAGGGAGTCTTTATAGACCAGCTCTATATACGACCGGAAAGAGAGTTTTTATGGACGAGTAGGAAGAGAGTCTTTATAGGCGATCGAAAGGGTGTCTTTGTATACGATCCGGAGAGAGCCTTTATATACGAGCTGGAGGGAATTTTTATAAAAGAGGAGAGAGTCCTTATAGACCAGCTTTATATACGAGCGGGAAGAGAGTTTTTATGGTTGAGTAGGGAGGGAGTCTGAACGATCGAAAGATAGTCTTTATATACTATTCTTTATAGACGATCGAAAGGGAGTCTTTGTAGACGATCTGAAGGGAGTCTTTGTAGACGATCTGAAGGGAGTCTTTGTAGACGATCTGAAGGGAGTCTTTGTAGACGAGCCAGAGAGAGAGAGAGAGAGAGAGAGCTTTTATATACGAGTAAGAGAAGAGTCTTTTAAACCAGTCGGAGGGAGTATTTTTAGATAAGACGGAGGTAGTCTTTATAAACGAGCCGGATGAAGATTTTACGAGTCGGACATAATGTATCTACATTATCCAAAAGGCGTGGTTAATACATCAACATAATCCGAAAAGCATGGATAATGCATTTACACAACTATGAGGCGCGAATAATGTATCTACGATATCCGAAAGGCGTAGAAAAAGTATCTACGTTAATAGAAATGCATGGATAATGTATCTACATAATCCGAAAGGCGTGAATAATGTATTTACGTTATCCGAAATGCGCGGATAATGTTTCTACGATATCCCAAAGGGATGGACAACATATCTAGACAATCCGAAAAACGTGGATAATGTATCTACTTTATCCGAAGAGCGTGAATAATGTATCTACGTTATCCAAAATGCATGGATAATGTATGTACTTTATCCTAAAGGCATCGATAATGTATATACATCTATTTACTTTATTCTAAAGGCGTGGATAATGTATCTACATAATCCGAAAGCTGTATATAATGTATCTACGTTATCCTAAAGGCATGGATAATGTATCTACGTTATCCTAAATGCATGAACAATGTATCTACATAATCCGAAAGGTGTGGACAATGTATCAACGTTATCCGAAAGGTGTGGACAATGTATCTGCAGAATCCGAAGAGCGTGGAAAATGTATCTACTTTATCCGAAATGCCCGGATAATGTATCTACGTTATCCAAAAGGCATGGATAATGTATATACATCTATCTTCTTTATCCTAAAGGGGTGGATGATGTATCTACATAATCCGAAAGCTGTATACAATGTATCTACCTCATCCTAAAAGCATGGATAATGTATCTACGTTATGCGAAAGGCGCGGAGAATGTATCTACGTTATCCGAAATGATTGGATAATGTATCTACATAATTCGAAAGGTGTGGATAATGTATCTATTTTATCCGAAAGGGGTGGATAGGGTATTTCTGTTATTCCACAGGCGTGGATAAGGTATCTACGTTGTCTAAAATGCATGGATAATATATCTACGTTATTTGAAAGGCGTAGATAATGTATCTACATTATTTGAAGGGCGTAGATAATGTATCTACTTTATCGGAAAGGCGAAGATATAGTATCCAAATTATCCGAAAGTGGTGGATAATATATTTCCGTTATCCCATTATAAATGTATTTTCGTTGTCCCAAAGGCGTGGATAATTTATCTACTTTATACTTTACTACGTTATCCAAACAACATGGAGAATATGTATATGTTATCTAATGGCGCGAATAACATATCCAAATAAAGTGGATAATGTATCTGAATTAACAAAAAGACTCGGATAATACAGGAATGTTATTCAAATGACTCGGATAATGGGTTAATTCTTTGCAAGTGTCTCGGATTATGCTTTCATGTTGTCCAATTGACTCGAATAATACATATATGGTTATCCAAATGGCCGAATCTATGTTATCCAAATAACGTGGATATCTCTTCGCTATCAAAGTGACTTAGAAATCACGCCGCAAATGCCTCGGCTTATGCATCCATGTTATTCAAAAGACTCGGAAAAGGGTCTCTGTTTTCTAACTACCATAGAAAATTTCAAAATCCCATACAAAGTTTTCTTTATTGTTCTCTTGTTTACTTTTAATTTTTTCGCCAACAGAAAACGGCCGCGACATCGCCCCGATTGGTCCGAAATGATGAAGGAAGTAGAAAGCGGCAAAAAACTGCGTCATGTGGAATGCAATGATAGGTATGGCAAATCTGAAATTAAACACACAAATTGATTTTAAAATAAAACACCAAATTTGTAGATCTCAACCCATACTTACATGCAAATCCATGACCAAGGTGGACAACAAGTTCATCTATGAAACAGAAAAGGAAAATTCCCACAACAAGTTGTTGCAACAAATCCAGTCGGGTGTACGGTTAAAGCCAACCCAGACCAATGATCGTAGTAAGCCATTCATTGAGGGTCTGCGCAAATTCCGGCGTCAAATGACAATTGAGGAACAGTTGCAAAAGTCCCAGTCTAAAATAAATATGTTGGCAAATGCTGCCAGTGGTGCGGCATTGGCTGGGGATGTAAGTTTGCGAAAAAAAGCCAATTGGATTGGTAACAAATTTAACATTTTTATTTTTTGTATTTGGTTTGTAAAGGCCACCGATGGTGCGGCCTCAGTTACTGCCAGCAGTCTGTCACGAGCCGGTAGTATTGTCTCTGCCCTATTGGATGGTTCCAGCGGCGATGAATTGGATGACATTGACAAGATTCGTGATGATCTGCAGAGTACGAAGCAAATGTTGGCCCTTGAGCTACGTAATCGTGAGGCTCAAGAGAGAGAAAACAAGAAGTTGTTAGCCAAAATTGCCACCCTTGAGGCTGAATTGGAACGTGAAAAGTCAAGAGAGAAAACTTTGGAATATGGCTCAAGAATTATTGTGGCCACAATGGAAACCACACCGGCCTCCGAAGAGGCCTATGTTAATTCACTGAAAAAGGAGGCCGAAGAATCAAAGAAAACCTCAAAAGATTTGGAAAGTAAGTATTTGGAGACGAGTGAAATGTTGGACCAGGCCAAGAGCGAGATAGAAGAACAGAAACGCCAGATACAGGCGCTCGAAAGAAAGTTGGCTCAAGCATTGCAGGTAAGAGGGTGTATTGGTTATGCAATACATTTGCAAAATTTGAAAATTTGCTATAAAATAAAACTCTTACTTCTTTTTGCTTTTTTCCTGCTGCCGCTTACTGCAAATAACCCCCCGAAAATGCTTTTGCCTTACGCCATAGGGTACATGCCCCCGCTGCCATTATAATATTACAGCCCAAAATGATTACTATTATGCTTATGATGAAAATGATTATGAAACGCATTCATATTACAATCATAATGGTATACATAAGGTACTTTTCATACAAAAAAAAAACTATTCAACAAAATCGTGGATAATGGGAAAATAAAGAAGTAATGTGGGATAAATTGGCTTCGCGATTGCAATTACAAAAATATCCTTCTAAAATTGAGACATTCATAAATAATCGTTTTAAAATTCGTGGTCTTTTCGAGCTTGTCGAAAGCTTGAACACATTACTCCTTGGTGGACCTCTACACTCTAAATCCCAATATAAAACATGTGGTAAAACAATTGAAAACTCTTGATTTGAATCAAACCCCTAGCTTTGGATTATCATGTCATCTCACATGCATTGAAACACTAAGTACACTTATGCATCTACACCTTCCTCCCTCCTCCATTTTAGATTGATGGACACACTGTGTAATCTGCATGGCATACATATAATGATGATGAAAACAGTATTGAACACAGAAAGGAAACTGATTTTTACCAAGGGATTCTTACAAGAGCCTCTTAAATACATTAGAATATTTAAAATATTGAAATAAAATGTTATACACTTTTGTGGAAGTTTATATATGTCATAATGTTAAGATGTTGACTCCTCTTATAGAACGTCGATCCAAAGCCGGCAATATGTTCCATTGCCCTTCAAAAATTTCAACAGACTTAAGAACGAATATGCAGACCATTATTCATAGGTCCATCTGGTTGAGAATGAATATGAAGGCCATGTTTTCTAAGTCCAATATTATCTCATGAATAATTATGGAGCAACCAGCTCTTAACTGTTTTTGTGAGGTTTGGTAAGGGTTTCTTAGCAATACCTCTGATGGATGTTGTTATAGGACATAATTAGGCTCAAAATCTTCTTTGGTTTTCTGAACTTCTCGAGCACGATGGAGACTTTGAAAGTCGGTCAGCCCGTAGATATAACATGCGGTATATCAAGGCAGTATCGCTGGATTTCCTTCCGGATGTGCCTTGGGAATGGATTTTGAACCATTGGCTTGTAGTTTCAGATTACATGCCGACATCTTGTCTGCAGGACTATCAACCGAGTATCCCTTAAGAAAAATGTCCAGGCTGGAGAAGGTCTGTTATACGTATGTTACCGTGAGATCTCTTCCGTATAGAGGGTGTATTATGGCTTGCTTTGTGTTAAGGATGATAGGCCGACCAGACCTTTGTTGAGACCAATGTTGTTTTTTTTTTTTGTCACTGGTAAGGATTTGTTGTAGGACATACTTAGGTTCTATGGCTTTCTGAAAGACAATAATTATGGCTTGATTGACCGGCCAAACCTTAGTTGGGCCCATGTGGTTTTTTGCCAATTGGAAAGCCTTTTTTAAGGATTAGGTTCATAATCTTCTATGGCTTTCTCAATTGCTCGAGCATAAATCAGCGATGCAGCCAGAGAAAGTCGTCAATTTCCGTTGGCATGACATCCTGGACGCCGGGGTTTTATTTCCGGCTGTCTTTCAGGATTTAAATTGATTTTCAGTGTCTGATGACATGCCGTGATCTTGAAACTTTCGCTAGCATTGTTTAGTGTAGTCTTCAGGGCTCTCCACTGAGTATCGCTTAAGAATAAAATCAAGGTTGGAGCAGAGTACATATAGATTAGGTTACAGGATGCGCAGCTACATTGGTCTATCGAGTTCATCTCAGGGAGAGTATTAGTGGTGATAGGAAAGATATAGAACAAGTAAAAAAGCAGCTAAGATTTGGACGGGCCGAACCCATTGGAAGATACCATTTGGATTAAACTTCAAAAATTTCGAAAAAAAAATCGTCGAAGAATACCGCTCAATGAAAGATGTGGGCCTGCATAGGTAATCATCATACCGGTTGTAGTACCCATTAATAGTACCCAAAATACGAAACTCAAAACAATTCCGATGAATACTGTCGATATAATCATCAAAATACCGAATATCGGGAGTTATCGTTATATGGGGGCTATGCGAAGACGTGGACCCGTATAGAAAATTTTCGTCATAGGTTGAAGTACCCAATACGAGCTTCAAATAGCTTCCTATTTTAATTCGGTTTGACTCTAGCGTGATTACAATAGGCGGACGGACAGGGCTAAATCGTCTTAGAATTTTACGCTGATAAAGATTTTGTACTTTGTAGCAATTTTATGATGATTATTAAAATCATATCACTGCTAGGCAAACGCTAACATTACTAGTTCTTTTTTATACCATCCCTCATACATAGTATGGAGGGTATATTAAGTTCTTCATTCCGTTTGTAGCTCATCTGAATGATAATAATTGATTACTGTGCCACTGACTGCTTTATTAGAAGTCAGCAGAACTTATTTGTCCTTAACCCAAAAAGTACAGAAGATAGCTTTCAGTATTTGCTTCTCCTCTAATCTGAATTGCTGTTTGTTGCTTGTAAGTGAGTAAGGTATCGAATATGACTTCGAAAATTCTCGGATTTTGGATTATTGGAATTATCCAATCTTCGACTATAGTGTTGTCTGGAAACGGTTTTAGCGTCGCATATGATTTGGTCAGATATACAGTTAAATGTCTATACTGCAGCGACTCAGAAAGTGGAGATACCCTTTCAGTTTTCCCTCCAGGACGGTGATGTCCACGGCTGTTGTCATGATGATGCAGTCATCAGCAGCATATATCACAAGCTTTACTGCTGCAGAAGGTGCAGAAATTTTTTGATGCAGATTTGGATAATTGATACTTCACATAAATTTTCTATATAAACTTTTTTACGAGAGTTCTACTACACACGCATGAAGGTGTAGGATATCATATAGTCGACCCCGCCTGACTTTTGACCTTTTCTTTCTGGTTTAGCTCTACTTACATAATTTGCTGGATTTTTTCCGTAATTATTTTATATGTTGCCCAGTGCAATTTACGCAAATATGTCCATAAGTTTCAACCACAAATAATATCCATTTCATTCCTCAGACAGACTATTAAATTAAATCAATTCACTACACTGCAGTCAGTTCAATACGGCCAAGGATATCACCCAACTTAACACGACTCCATCTTGCTTGAATATATATTATTTTCTTAGAGTACGACTGATTGTGTGCTTAAAAACAACTAAAAAATAATAATATATTACTATTAATTTTCATTGCTCATATTCAATAACACTTACCTCGGTTCATATCCGTTTGTTCCCAAAATAATTTCATATTTTCAACTTAAAATTTTGAAACAAATTTTGCTCTTCGTCTGCAACAGGGAGGCTATGACTCTAGACGGCCTAGCGATGCCCTCAATGGCATGGATAGTCCACCTGAATTTGAGCCAGAAAGCGAAAGTGATCCTGACGAGCCCGAAGAGAAGAAGATTGCCAGACGTGAACGACGTCTCAATAAGGAGGTTAAGGCTTTGCGTAGTAAACTCACCAAGGTCAAGGCGAAACAGGAAGCGGCACGCAAAGAAAAAGCGGCATTGAAGGAGATCATGAAGAAGAATCATGTCGTACTCAAGTAAGATCAAGGAAACCAATTTAAATTTGTTCCTTTTTAAAAATCGTTTGCGCTGCGATTTCTTTCCAGAGAAGAAAAGAAAAAGTTCAAGAAACTGGAAAAGGAAGTACACAAAATGGCTTCATCCATGAAAGAAGACATGGATCTTGACGATGACGAAGAAAAGGATGAGGCCGAAGAGAATGAAGAAAGCGAAGAAGAATCCGAAGACGAGACCGAGGAAGAATCTGAGGAATCCGAGTCGGAGGAAAGTGAAAATGAAACAGAAAGTGAATCAGAAGCAGAGGTAGAACAAAAACACAAATTTTAATTACAAAATCATTTGAATAATCCAATCTTTCTACTTTCCCCAATGTAATAGGATGCCACCAACCAGGCCAAGAAGGACAATTTGGAACCGCGTCTCAAGAAACACGAAAGCCGTTTGAATGCCATGAAGAAATGTAATGTTCTGTTGCAGGCCAACGTTGATAATCTACAAGATGAAATCCATCAAGTCCGTTCCAAGGCATCCAATTTACAAAGCGAACTGGATGCTGTTTTAGCCGATTTAGGTTTTTAAATGTCCTCCCCACTCCACCACAAGAAACACCACACGTTCACACAACACACACAGTTACACGCTATATAATAATAAATTATAATACAATACACACAATATCCTTAACAACAAATTGAATTGTTTTTTAATAATAAAAAATAAAATACATTTTAAGAATTTAATTCTTACCTTGTCTCTGAATTTGAAACTTCTTATCCTTTTTTGTGAAATGTTTTCAAACAAAGAATCAGGAATCACTTGAATAAAATCACAGACATGTTAATCACATACACACACTCGCGAAAAGTTATAAAACAATTTTTTGGGTTTTTATTTTCAATTGTAAACAGCGTTCAATTGGCAAAAAATATTTTTCAAACGAAGTTAAAAAATTCAATTTTGTTTGTGTTTACTCTTTTGGATGACAGGTGACTATGAAATGCTGCTTCTTCTTATTTGCACCATAGCAACAGTGACCATGGCAATGATAACATAGCTAAGCCACACACCACAACAAGACAAGATAAGTGCAGAAATAAACAACTGTGGGAACTAAAAAGAAGCAATTCTTTTTCAAATGTCCGTTAGCTCAAATTGTAGGATTTTCAAACTGTTAGCAATGAAATGAGAAGACTCTCAAACTGTATTAAAATTAAACAACTAGAAATAGTTTCAAAGAACTAAATACATAACAATGTTTTTGTTTACGGATTTTAAAGTAAAAGAACAAAGTCATGTAGATTGACATCTTTCAAATTCGGCCCATAATTTAATACAGAAGGCCTGCTAGAAATAAATAAATATATAACGTCATATTAGGTCTATCTACTTACTTTTCATGGAACGGACAGCATCCCTTTAAGCAATCAGCTGATTTGTCAAAACAAATCAATTAAAAGCGGCAAAGCTAGCCAGGATTTTGTATTTCTTTAGAAATAACAAAGCTATTGAACCAATAACAGAAGAACTTACATTCGGCAAATTTTTCTCAAAAAAAAAAAAAAAAAAAAAAAAAAAATAGGCATTGAGCATGGTAGAAAAATACAGGTAGATGCATGAACGCTTGGGTACATTGACATGTCAAAACTTTTTAAATGTTTTTTCAAATATAAGTAGATTTTTATATGTTTTCTTATATGACGTCATTCGGAGGTTATTATAATATGCATTTTCAACTATTTTTACAAATATAAATCATTTTTCATTCAATATTTTCAATTCCAAAACTAGTTTGATAGTTCATTGTCCCAGCAGCTGTGTCGATGCGTCTACCTATATTCTTCTACCATGGCATTGAGCAAAAATTTGCCACAATTTTTACAAAAATTTTTGAAGAAACAAACAGACCGAATGTAAACATTCACAACAAAGTAACGATTATTCAGGGGTTAGAAAAAATTCCAACAAGCCACCATAAATATGCAGTTTAAAATTATAAATTCATTGTCAAAACAAGTAGTTTGACTGACTCTAGGGATATACTAAACCAGTAAGGAAAGGTCAAAAGTCAGGCGAGGCCGACTATATGATACCCTACACCACTATGCCTATTTAGTAAAGCTCCCGTAACAAAAATAGTTTATTTTGGGAATATATGTGAAGTAGATCATACCAACTATGAACCTTATTTCAATGCGTATCATGGCTTTAATTTGGGAACTATCTGTATCTGATGTCCGGTATCAAATATCCTTGTTGTAGATTGTATATTACGCATGTGAAGAACTTAAAACCCCAAATCGGATTAAACATATACATGGGAGCTATAGCAATATATAAACCGATTTTCACCAAAATTTAAAGCATTTGCTTCTGGGCTGAGTTCCGTCGGATGTGCCAAAGATATATATGGGAGCTATATCCAAGTCGGTACCGATCTTGACAAAATTTTAAGCACTTATTACTGAGCTGTTTTTGATATCTGGTACCAATGACCATTGTTGTGGAGTGCATATTACGCTTGTGAGGAACATCAACACTAAGTCGGGTGAAACACGTATATATGGAAGCTATAGCTATATCTGAACCGATTTTCACCAAATTTTATGTATTTGCTTCTGGACTGAATTCGGTTGGATGTGCAGGTTATTTGAACTATTATTGGCCATTTGGTGCACAATTAACCTCAAATCGCTTGAAGATGCGATCTGCATTTTGTTCACAAAAATACATGGACAGACGGACGGACTGACATGCATAAATCGACTATGGGTCTATCTCGCTTCCATCTCCATGCTATAAAGAAATACACAAAGACCCTTACCACTATGTGGTAGGGTAGGGTATAAAAAGTAAATTGAATGGAAGTGAGCTTTTCTCTTTACGCAGGCACGGGATATCCACTTAAGCCAATCTAAAAAGATTTATTGAATTGAAATTGTTTATTTCCTAATGGCTATACATACTTTGAGCACTTAATAATCGCTTTAGATGAAGTAGGGATTATGAAAAACACTTGAGTTATTATTTTTTAATCCTCGAGGGAAAAGTGATTTATTGCTTAAAAATCTGAAAATGTTTCAATAGATTTACACATAGTACAATAACAATAGGTGGAATAGAGCAACATCCTAAATACAATTGTTTATTTGGTGATTCCATTCTATCAATATATACAGGGTGAGATAAAAATCTGCACCAAGTCAAACGCCATAATTTTTACATTTTTTTTTAATTTTATTGAATGAAAGTAAAAATGTCGGAAATCATCAAGTTTTAGAATAAGTTTAGACTTGTTCGAATTCGTCACCTTTGTCACGAATTATGGCCTTCAAACGGTCAATGAAACCATCACACGCTGCCCAAATTTTGCTATGCGGTATTTTGGCCCATTCCCGACAAAGCCCTTACTTGAGGTGATCGACACTTTGGTATTTTTTAGTGGCAACCTTGCTCTCCAAAATACTCCAGACACAATAGTCCAACGGATTAGTATCCGGAGATTTTGGTGGCCATTGTGCGCTGGAAATGAAGCGAGGAACCTCATTGTAACCATTCATGGGTGGCGCGTGCTGAGTCCAGTTGGAATGTCCAAGGTCTGCGGTCACAATGCTTGCGTGCCCAAGCCTTTAATATACCCTCGAGAATATTTTCGCGATAATATTCGGCATTTATTCTGATGCCACGGTCCATTAATACGAGAGGAGAGCAACCATCGACTGTTATGGCGGCCTGCACCATCACCATGGCCGTCGCTTGAGTTCTCGTGGCCAATCAGAGGTGCACATATTAAGCTTTCAGCTGACCTCTTTGGCATGTAAATATAATAATTGTGTTTGTTTACAAACTGCTGGACAACTAATGTTTTCTCATCGGTGAAAACCTAATTCGGCAGTTCACCACTTTCGGCCAAGCGAAGCAACTCTTAAGCTCTTTTGAGTCTGGGTCTATTTTCTTTCTGTTGCGGTGTAAGTTCTTGAACATTTTGGAATTTCAATGGCTTTACCCCGAGCTCATTTTTCAATATTTGCGATATTTTCAGCTCACGAGCTATTTTTAGTCCACTGCGATCAAGTCGCTTCTTTACTTTTCGAACCATTTCTGCTGATGTTGCTGTTTTCTTACGTCCGTCGCCTTGACGTCGCGCTACGCTACCAGTATCACGGTAGCACGCGATAGTACGAGACACAAAAAATTTATACACATTTAAATTCTGGAGTGCTCTAACGACAGCCACTTGTGATTTTCCAGCCAAATATGAAGATATCACACAATCACGCTTGAATTCCATCACGAATAACTTTTTTTCTGGAAAATTCTCACCAAAATGCTTTTGTACGCTTGTAAACAATATAATGAGCTGTCACTGGAATAATTTTAACGGCTGTCGGTCGAGTGGCTTAAAAGTGACAGCAGTCTGAAGTTGGTTGCAGTTTTTTCATCTCACCCTGTATGTATGTATGCACTACTCATAAGATTTACACATCATCCTAAAGTCATTAATATGTGGTTTTCTCCCTCCGCCACATCATGGACAGTTCTGCACACAAAATTAGGTATGTCTGCTTATTTTTATTGCAAGAACTTTTAGAATTGGTTCGGCAAGAACTTTCATATTCATGCATGAACGTAGCCAAATAATAATAAACCAAACTTTCTTGCCCTTTGTTTTTGTCAGCCTTTGTTTAACAAGGGGACATTTCTCTCCCATGAACTTTTTTTCTCTCTCTCTCCCTCTCAAGAACTTCCATATTCATCTATGAACGTAGCCAAATAATAACAAACCAAACTTTTTTGCCCTTTGTTTTTATCAGCCTTTGTTTAACAAGGGGACATTGCTCTCCCATGAAATTTCTCTCTCTCAAGAACTTCCATATTCACCTATGAACGTAGCCAAATAATAACAAACCAAACATTATTGCCCTTTGCTTTTATCAGCCTTTGTTTAACAAGGCGACACTGCTCTCCCATGAACTCTCCCCCTCTCTGTCTCATATTTTTGGAAACGTTTATGCAAAAATTTGCAAAACCCTTAGATTTTCTTACTCGTTTGTTCTCTTTGCCAGACTTTTTGTATTAAGAGCCCACTTCCAGTAACAATTTCTTACCAATTTTTGTGCGCCCAGACAGACCCAATGTATTTGTTCACAACAAAGTAACGATTTTTCTGGGGTTGGAAATAATTCCAACAAACCACCACAAAAACGTAGTCAAGAATTATATATTCATCGTCACAACAAGTGGTTTGGCTGACTCTAAGGAAAGACTTAAAAAATGGCGCAAACAAAACTCCAGAACAGGTGCACCACTCAGGGGTGAGTTACAAAATTTGAAATATTTAACTTGTTGCTGCTTAATAGGGCTTTTGCATAGCTACTACATGGCCGTACGTACGTATGTGTTTAGCATTTATCCCCCTCCTAATAAGTCCATCGCATGGGAAAATAACTAATTTGACCTGTGAGAATGATAATGAATATTTATGTTGTGTAACATCTTCGGGGATATGGCAACACCATTGACATTTTCACAGAAAGGCGTTGTTCATGTTTTGCGACGGAGCATAGCAGCGACTTTTATTAATGTCTGACCAAATACCGCTGTTATGACGAAAATCGTGTGCAAGAAAATTGATTCCGTAGTGGGGGTAAGTGTACAACTACTACAAAAAAAATACAAGTTCGTTAACACTAAAAAGGGACCTTTTTCAAGGACATTTGCTTATGGCCTTTAAATGCTATATTTAGTAGTCTGACAAGAAAGGATAAACATTATATACATTGTTAATGGAGTACTTTTTATACTCTACCCCACATAGTGGTAAGGTTATTATGTCTTTGTGCATTTGTTTGTAACATAAAGAAGGAAGTTACTTTTGAGAAGCTTTATAGAATCACTTTCTGAGTCGATTTATGCATGTCAGTCCGTCCGTCCATCTGTTCATGTATTTTTGTGAACAAAATGCAGGTCGAATTCATTATCCGATTAAGATGAAATTTTCCAAACAATATTTGTTTGGCCCAAGGACGAACGCCATTGAAATTAGTGAGAATCTGTTCAAATTTAGATATAGCTCCCATATATATCTTCAACCGATTTCGGGTTAATTGTACACCAAATGGCCAATATAAGTAATTACCTGAATTTTGGCACATTCGTCTAGAAGTAAATACATCAAATTTGGTGAAAATCAGTTCAGATATAGCTATAGCTCCCACATATATGTTTCAACCGATTTGGTGTTTTAAGTCCCTCACATTCGTAATATGCACCCTACAACAATGATCTTTGATACCAGATATCAGATACAGCCCAGAAATACCTCTATTAAATTTTATCGAGATCGGATCAGGTTTGCATATTGGTCCCATATATATCTTCAACCGATTTCGGGTTAATTGTGCCCCAAATGGCTAATATCTGTCAAAAAGTCCTGAAGCAGGTACATCAAATTTGGAGAAAATCGGTCCAGATACAGCTATAGATCCCATGTATATGTTTCATCTGATTTGGTGTTTAAATCCTTCACATTCGTAATATGAATTCGACAACAATGATATTTTGTATCAGAACGGCTAAGATTTGGATATAGCGATTTCAGGTTCATAGTGCAAATAATGGTTAATATCGGCCCGTATGTCTGACTGTCTGGCTGGTGTGCACGATAACTCTCGAAAGGAGTATCCAATTTGATTCAAACTTAGTACATCGTAATATTATTATCAAACTTAGATCGAGTTCGGAGATGGGAAATATTGGTCCTCTCCATCTGGTAGCTTCCCCACAAAAAAAAAATCACTGCACAGAAAGAGAAAGCATGATCCGGTTTTGCTCCAACTTTGCAAATTATAATATTTGCATCAGTGCTAGATCAGGTGTGAAAATGGACAGTATCGGTCCACTCCATCAAGTACCTCCTTGTGGGGGAGGGTCAACATTTTGAATAATTATAACTCTTATAAAATGTGATGTAAGAGTCTGATTGTCTTCATATAACACACATCACAATATTTTTATTAACCCAAGGTATGGTGTGACAATGGAATATATCGGTCGACTTCTTTTGGTAACTCCCGCCACAAAGGGTCAAATTTTTTGAATATTAATGAGGCCCATAAAACGCCAAATTAATATCCGATTCCATTCAGACTTGGCACATCTTAATATTTGTATCAACACCATATCTGTTATAAAAATGATAGAGATCGGACCATTCCTTCTGGTACCTCCCCCACAAAGGGTCACAGTTTTGAATAACCAAAACGATCATAAAATCCAAAATAAGCATACGGTTCTCTTCATATTTCACACATCACATTATTTTTACTAACACAAGGTCTGCTGTGAATATGGGATATATCGGTCCATTCCTTTTGGTACCTCCCCCACAAAGATCAAAATTTTGAATACCCACGAAGCTCATAAAACGCGAAATTTACACTCGATTCTATTCAAACTTGACACATCTCAATATTTCCATCAAGACAAAGTCTGTTATAAAGATGGTAGAGATCGGACCATTTCTTCTGGTACCTCCCCCACAAAGGGTCAAAGTTGTGAAAAACCAAAACGATCATAAAATCTAAAATAAGCATCCGATTATTTTCAAATTACACACGTCACAATATTTTTATTAATACCCACAAAGGGTCAAAAATTTGAATATCAATTAAGCTCATAAAATACGAAATTAACATCCGATTCCACTCAGACTTGGTACATCTAAATATTTCCATCAACACAAGATCTGTTAGAAAGATGGTAGAGATCGGACAATTCCTTCTGGTACATCCCCCCACAAAGAGTCAACATTTTGAATATCCATGAAGCTTATAAAATGCGAAATTAACATCCGATTCCATTCAAAGTTGGTACATCTCAATTTTCCCATCATCACAATTTTCCTATAAAGATACTAGAGATCGGACCATTTTTCGGTACCTCCCCCACATAGGGTTCAAGATTTTAAAAAACAAAATGCTCAAAGAAAGCGAAATAAGCATTCAACTCTCTTCAAAGTTCACATATACAAACATTTTTGCTAACACAAGATCGGTTGTGAAAATGATATATATATCTGCGAACCCCTTCTGGTACCTCACCCACAATGGGTCACAATTTGCAATACTTTAATATGTCATAACTTGCAAAATAAGTAAGCGATTCTTTACAACTAAATATTTCTCTCAACCAGAAATCTGGGATCTATAATTCCGCATGAAATTGGATATAAATGTCCGATTTTGCTGTAATTTTTCTCATACCAATATTTTTACCTGTATTAGATGAAGTATGCAAATGAAATACTTCGAACGCCTATATGTGGTAACTCACGCACAATTTCAATTATCAAATGTCTCATATAAAGTGAAGGAAGTAGGCGGTATAGTCCAAACCAGGCACGTCGCAATATTTATATCATATTTACTTAGGACCGATACGAAATGGACAATATTGGCTCATTACTTTGGAAGCTACTCCATAGAGGGTCAACAATTTAAATAATCATAGCAGAAGTCGGAATATATTTAAATAATCGAACTTTGGCTGAGGATATACATCTCTCGGCAAACCGGCTGATACTTTTTAACTTGTTTTTTTTTAAGAAAACATCTTCTTTAAAATGACACGTTCTTACGAAACGATGTAAAATGATAATAACTATCACTTTCAGCCATTTGGTCCATTACATGACGACATCTGTCTCCGTCATAGGTGTCTCATTAAAAAGCAAATGCATTTCCATATCACTGATTAGACCAAAACACCTTTGTGCAGTTGATGGCTGCGCAGGAGGAGAAAAAAGAAAAAATAAACATTTCATACGTAACAGTTGACTTACAATCAGCATCCGAAACCATTATTTTTAATTGTTAATAACTGATCGGTACACCTGTTCCGGTTGATGAGCATGCGCGCGCACACATTTTATTTTCAGTTTCTTCATAAACCGAAGAATTTATGTAGCACTCGATGTAACGTCAAAACAGCAACTGTCTTCTTCCCCTTTCCCCCCGACTGCTCTAAAGAAAGATGTGTGGCTTACATTTATTGTGGCTGCCCTGGCTGGCTATCTTGGCTGCTTGCCTTAGTAGTTGTTGTATTATAACTCGACTCGTGTTATGAGCATATTGTTTTCAATTGTTGTTACCGAAAACACCTGACATTCCCAAAAACGAAAAATTCATTGCTGTATGAATGTGATATGAGCGTGTGTGTGTGGTTGTGTGTCGTCCGGGTCGAATATGCCCGGTATGCTCTGTGTTCTAATAGTTTTGTGAACACATGAATGACTCAGTTAAGGCGAACCAACCACCGCTCAACAGTCTATGCCATTTGGTATTGATCAGCTGCGATGTCTATTAGACGATCCAGCCAACCCGCCAGCCAGTTAGTCAGTCAGCCAGTGCAAATTGGTGGTTGCTTGTAAGGGGTACGTGTTGCTCTTTTTTACTCTGATGTTCGCTTGGGGTTTTTTTTCGTTTTGAATTTTTTCATTTAAAACTGAATTCATTTCATTGAGTCAGTCTTGAAACAAACTTCCAACGGTTAAAGTGTTTGCAACGCTCGCCGGGTACTTTTTTTTTTTTTGAAAAGTTGCTGAGATCGTCTTCTTCTGCAAAAAAAAAACGCATTGTGATAAATAAAATATTTAAAGAAGTATTATTGTACATTGTGTGTGTTTGCTATTATTATTCCCATTCTTACATTGCGATAAAGCCACAAGTGATTAGTTGTTGTTATTGTTTTTTTTTTTTTGTTGTTTTTTTTACTGACAGTGTTTAAGTGTTGCAAATTAAAAATAGCTTACAAAAACCAAAGATCATTTATTGTTGTTGCTTGTGGTGTGGTTTTCATTGACGTATGCATTCTAAGAGATAAGGTCATCCTTTCGATATTTAATACGACATCCGCATATTAGCCCTGAGCTGACAGATATAAACGCGATTATTTTATACCGTCTTGTCGTGGTCACAACAACGCCTCGTCTTGTTAGCATAATACTATCTTATCGAAGAATAACATTGCTATTGATACAGTAATCAGTTTGGCCAGTGAACATCGAACAACACCCCACCCCATCCCTTGGCCTCCGGCAAAATCCAACCTTATCTGTAAATCGTATTTCAAAACAATAGTGTCAACAAGTGCGTGTGTGTTCATAAGAAACAACGTAAATAAATACTTACCTACCGAATAAAATAATTGTAACTGTAATCAATTTCAAATCTACAACGACAACAACATAGTTCAACAGCCATAAAAACGCACTTCAATTCAACGAAAGCCATATTTGCTGTCTTCAATTCTATTCAGCTAGCCGACAGCTAAATGCCAATGTTTCAGGTGAGATTCCATTGAATTGTCATCGTCCATTGGTTTTATTTGTTATTCACACGTCTCTGTCTGTCCATCCATTCATTCGTTCATTCATATATCATGACTCATTTAATGTGAATTCCAAATTACTTATGTTAAATATTCATTAATTCTTTTTTTTTTTATTGTTAAACTTTGAAATAAACAAACGAATACATCAAATGTTTGTACAAAAAAAATCACCGCAACAGAATATCGTGTGTTCAATGCTTCTCTATGGTGCTCTCTCTCACCGCTACACTCAAGAGAAAATGTCAATATCAAGTTAGGGAGTTAGGGAGTAATGTAACGTATTTGTAACGTAAAGATAACGGAAGGATGTTGCTTTGTTTATTTTATGGTTTTTTTGGTGGGAAACAAATGAAAATTAATGGAAAATGGTTGGAATTTTAGCATTTTAATGAAAAAAAGGCAAAAACATTAATAAATTGGTAAGACATGTTTCATTATTGTAGCCAAAAAAAATTACCCTTACCTCTCTATGGTTCTCTCTCACATGCAGAGTCTGCTAGACTCAAGAGAAAATGTCCATATAAATTTGGGAGTTAGGGGTAATGTAACGTATTTGTAACGTAAAGATAACGGAAGGGGGTTGATTTGTTTATTTTGGGATTTCTTGGTGGGGAAGCAAGTGAAAAGTAATAGAAAATGGTTGGAATTTTTGCATTTTAATGAAAAAGAAGCAAAAATATTGATAAATTGGTGAGAAATGTTTTATTATTGTAGCCAAAAAATTATTATCAATCCATCTCTATGGTGCTCTCTCACACAGAGAGTCCTGTGCTAGACTCTAGAGAAAATGTCAAAATCAATTGGGCAGGTGATTGGGGGTAATACGTAATAACGTATTTGTAACGTAATGATAACGGAAGGATATTGATTTGTTTATTTTGGGATTTTTTGGTAATTTTTTGGGAAAATCGTTGGAATTTTTGCATTTTAATACAAAATAGCAAAAATGTGGATTAATTGATAAGAGATGTTCTATACTTTTAGTCATGGTCTGTATTATAACAAGTAAAATAGTATCAGCCGGTTTGAAGGAAATCGAACATTTATATCCAATTTTATGCGAAATCATAAATTTCGATAAATTACATATTCATATCAGATTTCTGTTTAAGAGAAAAATTAAGATAAAGCAAGTTGTAAAGAATCGTCGACTTGTTTCGCAAATTATGACAGATTGTGACACTTTGTGGGTGAAATACCAAAAGGGTTTGACAGATATCTATCATCTTAGCAAAAATATTTGTATGTGTGAAATTTGAAGAGAACTGGATGCTTTTTTCGCTTTCTTTGAGCGTTTTCTTTTTCAAAAATCTTGAACCTTATGTGGGGGAGGTACCAGAAGAAATGATCGGATCTATGCCATCTCTATAACAGATATTTTGTTGATAGAAATATTGAATCGAATATTAATTTAGCTTGTTATGAGCTTCATGGGTACTCAAAATTTTAACCCTTTGTGGGGGAGGTACCAGAAAGAGTGGACCGATATATCCCAATTTCACAACAGACCGTGGGTTAATAAAAATATGGTGATGTATATAATTTGAAGAGAACCGAATACTTATTACGGATTTTATGATCGTTTTTGTTATTCAAAACGTTGACCCTTTGTGGGAGAGGTACCGGAAGGAATGTTCCGATCTCTACCATCTTTATAACATATCTTGTGTTCATTGTAATATTGATGTGTGCCAAGTCTGAATGGAATCGGATTTTAATTTAGCGTTTTATAAGCTCCAAGAATATTCCAAATTTTGACCCTGAAAAATTGTTATATTTGTATGAGAAGACTATGTAGTTATTTAAATATGTATTCCAAAACTGGATACTCCCCTAATGGGGTTTCTATTTATTAAAAAAAAGCTCATCGATTCGTTTTGAGTAGCACCAACAAATCAATAAAAAATACAGCTAACACACACTATAAGCTGCAACAAATCGAAAATGGAAATTTTCAAACCTATTTTACGTCAGCGACAATTACAGATCTGTGGTCAACAATCATCTGTTACAGCAGAAAATCATAAAAAAAAATTAGAATGGAATTCAATAGAAAAATTCCGATGTGCCGGCACATTGGGAAAACCCTTTTATATTATTAATTAATAATGTCTTGCGATACATTGGTCACGTAACCCTTGTCAATAAATTTCATCATGCATCAGCATCGTCACTATGAATAAAAACGTTAATTAAAAATGTAAAAAAAACTTTGTGGCTTTTCCATGTGCCTTTAGAAATAACCATAAAAGGAAATACCTATTGTGCGACTAACTTCATTCATATAGGGATTTATAGATCGATTTACTTAAATGATGTATTTTATATTTAAGTACCAAACACAGCAAACATTTTTCTTTGCGTCATCAACAAAACAACACAATGTGAACTGAGATTATTTTTAATGGCATTTGTGGTGTGGAAATTTCTACAACAAACAAATTTCATTATTAAGAACTACAGGGAGAGATGAAAAAACTGCAACCAACTTCAGACTGCTGTCATTTCTAAGCCACTCGTCCGTTAGCTGTTAAAATTATTCCAGTGACTGCTCATTATATTGTTTACAAGGGTACAAAAGCATTTTGGTGAGAATTTTCCAGAAAAAATGTTATTCGTTATGGAATTCAAGCGTGATAGTGTGATTTCTTTATATTTGGCTGGAAAACCACAAGTGGCTATCGTTAGAGCACTCCAGCATATAAATGTGAATAAATCTTTTGTGTCTTGAAGAAAACAGCAATATCAGCAGAAATGGTTCGAAAAGTAAACAAACGACTTGATCGTGTCTGCAGTGGCCGAAAAATGGCTCGTGAGCTGAACATATCGCAATATTCCATTCGGCAAATATTGTAAAATGAGCTTTGGGCGCAGACCTTGGACATTCCAACAGGGCTCAGCACCATGGCACTCAGCTATGAATGGTTACAAAATGAGGTTCCTCGCTTCATTTCCAGCGCACAATATCCACCAAAATCTGCACATACCAATCCGTTGGACTATTGTGTCTGGAGTATTTTTGAAAGCAAGGTTGGCACTAAAAAATACCAAAGTGTCGATCACCTCAAGCAAGCGCTTCGCCGGGAATTGGGCCCAAAATACCGTAGAGCAACATTCGGGCAGCGTGTGACGGTTTCATTGGCCTTCTCAAGGCCATAATTCATGCCAAAGGTGACCAATTCAAATAAATCTTTAGATTTCGAAAATTTTATGCTATTTCCGACATTTTTTGCTTTCATTCAATAAAATTTAAAAAAAAAATTATAGCGTTTGACTTTGTTGCAGTTTTTTTATCTCACCCATTACTCTCTTTTATAAAGAAGTTGCTGGATAATGTCTGCAGAAAAAGTACCCAAACAGATCTTAAGTTGTGAAGAACAATGAGAACATTGTGCCGCCAACTTCATTCATATAGGGATTCATAAATCGAATTTGACATAATGATTTACCATTTTTCTATGGCACATTTAATTTCATGTTTGGACTATCTCTCCTGTCAAAATTACGTTTAGATTTAAAAAATGTCAATTCCATAAAGTATATATCAAATAATATCCACTGGATTTATACGTCATACGCAATGAATTTGGCATTTGAAATCGTCTGGATTCAGTAGTCTAAACGTGCTCTAACTGATATTATCTTTAATTTAACTTTAGCCTCGAAATTCGGACCTATGGGAATTGTATTGTCTTTTCTGTTTTATCCAACAGATCTTATGTTGTGAGGAATAATGTGAACATTGTGCAGCCAACTTCATCCATATAGGGATTTATAAATCGAATTTGGAAAAATGAGTTACCATTTTCATATGGCACATTTTATATCTTATTTGGAATTCCTCTCTATTCAAAAGTACGTTTAGATTTAAAAAATCCCCCTGATCTCAAATGACAATTCAATGGAGTATACGTCAAATAATATTCACAAGATTTATGAATACAATTTCCGTGACGTATACGCTATGGAATTAACATTTGAAATCGACTGAATTTAGTAGTCTAAACGTGCTCTAACTGATATTATCATTAATTTAACTTTAGTCTCGAAATTCGGACCTATGGGAAATCGGAAAAATGTCGATAAATAAAAATAAAGTAATTGACAAGTATTGTATTGTCTTTTCTATTTTAGCCAACAGATCTTATGTTGTGAGGAATAACTTCGTTGTGCGGCCAATTTCACAAAGACATAGAAGTATAAAGATGGGACAAGACAGAGTCAAAATATTGTCACCAGGTGTAAATACCTCTGTTGTTACGATATCATAACAACATAATCACCAATGTTAAGTTGTTTTAACAGCAAATGCAATATTCAAACGTCAGTGAAATGCAATTTTTAGTTCAAAATTTTTGGTTTACAGAAAATTTTATTCTTAAAATTGATCTGTAAATAAAATTTTTATGCTAACATGTCACTGTTGTGAGCAGCGCCTCTATATATTTTTCACATTAACTACTTTTCCATTATGCATTTTGTCCAGTCTTTACCATTTCATTCATATAGGGGTTTATAAATCGAATTTGGCAAAATGAGTTACCACTTTCCCAGGTGCATTTTATGTCTCGCCAAGTATTGTATTGTCTTTATCTACATTTTAAAACTTCTTTTAAAACGAATGATAACCTACTGGCTTTTTTAGCATAGTAGGCGTTCTGGCGCCCAAATACAATAATTTCAATGGTGCATTTTTTGACTAAAAACACATTTTGAAATATTTATTTAATTATTAGTATTATTATTATTTTTTTTTTTTGGAATTCAACAACATTTTACTAAAATGTCTCATTGTCATAATTACTCATACATAACTAATAATATCATTATTATCATTCTTTTGTTTTCTAGTTCACTACCACAAACCCATAGATATCAATCACATCATATCATTATAAAAATTCATACCGCATTTATATAAAAACCCATCAAGTCGTAACAAATAAACAACAAGAAAAATGTTGCTAAATCCGTTTCATCCATCTATTGCCCATCTCAATGATTCCAGTAATTTTGAATCGAGTTTTGAGGTGAAATATATACCGACAACAGTGACTGCCAGTGGAGACTTAAGGAATCAACAGGTTATTACTGCGAGTGAACGTGAAGCTTTGATAAGATTTGTGGAAGAATTTGAAGCTCTACAAATCTATGACAGGAGTAATAAATCAACGCCGAAAAAGTCAACACATTTTCCAGAATATAACAACATAAGTTTTGTGACAGACGACCTCATCATTTCCGGTAATATTTCGGGTTCAAAAAGCCAAATAGGCTCACCGCCGACACCCATTTTAAGAAATCACATTAAAAATCTATGGCCCTCAGAGGAGGAGTGTGATTTCCCGTATTTTCCACACAATTGCAGTGAAAATTCCAGTCGCCCAAATTCTCCATTATTTACAAATATGGGTTGTAAATCGTTAACCTCTTGTGAATGCCCTCACGAAGAACCCAGCGAAGAGGGTATTGAGCTGATGACGGCACACCTTAACACTTCATGTGATTCCACCACATCATCCATGGAGTTACAACCGCCTTTGGTGCCTAGCTTTAAAATAACTCCAACAAAATCAGACAACAACAATGCAGGCAATGATTTGGCCAGATTTTTGCGGTGTTCATTTCGTGTGAAACGTGCCAAAATCACACCATTGCAGCGTTCCATAAGTGTCAGTGCCGATTCCTGTTTGGCTGATCCGCGTACAAATGTCAAGGCGAAAAAGAAGATCCTGGAGGATACAACAAATAAAAATGAAAGGAGCTCACTGTCGGTAAGTAGAGTTTTTTATTTTTTTTTTAATTTATTTAGTTTAAAAATATAATTTAAAAAAAAATCAAGATTTGGGTTTAAATATTTGTTTTTCATTTTGAAATTGTCCACCTCGTCGTCATGGTCAAAATGATAGATAATTAAAAATAAAAGATGGTGGCGCCCAACATAAAATCTAGAATGGTTACAGTTATCTTTCTTAGCAAAAATAAGAAAAAAACTTTCTATTATTTCCAGGATGTCGAACATCATCCTGGCGACCAACTTAAGACCCACGGCCTAAAAGTCCATTCGAACGTACAACCTGCCTTTAATGAGAGATCTTTAAAGGCAGTGGAAGCACAATGTAAAGACATTTCATAGATTTTCTAGAAAGAAAGGAAACGTGGTTCAGGCTTTTTTCGTATTTTTTTATTAATTTCTTTTTGAAATCTACTATTTTTGCCATGATAGCTGTCAACAAAAAAAATTAAAAAAAAATATGGCGCCCAATTGAAATACTGAAAAAATGCAAATTTGTCCGAATAAGACGTACAATACATGCAGATGTTTGGGTTCTGCTAATCTGGTTCGAGCTCCAGGTTTAAACATTCGGCTACCTTAATGGGCTGTAACCATAGATCTTCTGGAGTGAGTTGGGTAGGTGTGGCGGTGCAATTATGCTTCCACAGCGTAGCACTAGTATTCGCAGACCAGACAGGAGCCACATAGCTGACCACAGACCCACATATTGTGTCATAAGAGGTCAACAAGGGTTCCTTGTCCGCACCCCAAGTGCTGAAGCTCTTCTATGAAGAGCAAACCTTCTGAAGCTCTTCTATGAAGAGAAGACCGTCTGAAGCTCTTCTATAAAGAGAAGACCGTCTGAAGCTCTTCTATGAAGAGAAGACCGTCTGAAGCTCTTCTATGAAGAGAAGACCGTCTGAAGCTCTTCTATGATGCGAAGACCGTCTGAAGCTCTTCTATGATGCGAAGACCGTCTGAAGCTCTTCTATGAAGAGAAGACCGTCTGAAGCTCTTCTATGAAGAGAAGACCGTCTGAAGCTCTTCTATGAAGAGAAGACCGTCTGAAGCTCTTCTATGAAGAGAAGACCGTCTGAAGCTCTTCTATGAAGAGAAGACCGTCTGAAGCTCTTCTATGAAGAGAAGACCGTCTGAAGCTCTTCTATGAAGAGAAGACCGTCAGAAGCTCTTCTATGAAGAGAAGACCGTCTGAAGCTCTTCTATGAAGAGAAGACCGTCTGAAGCTCTTCTATGAAGAGAAGACCGTCTGAAGCTCTTCTATGAAGAGAAGACCGTCTGAAGCTCTTCTATGAAGAGAAGACCGTCTGAAGCTCTTCTATGAAGAGAAGACCGTCTGAAGCTCTTCTATGAAGAGAAGACCGTCTGAAGCTCTTCTATGAAGAGAAGACCGTCTGAAGCTCTTCTATGAAGAGAAGACCGTCTGAAGCTCTTCTATGAAGAGAAGACCGTCTGAAGCTCTTCTATGAAGAGAAGACCGTCTGAAGCTCTTCTATGAAGAGAAGACCGTCTGAAGCTCTTCTATGAAGAGAAGACCGTCTGAAGCTCTTCTATGAAGAGAAGACCGTCTGAAGCTCTTCTATGAAGAGAAGACCGTCTGAAGCTCTTCTATGAAGAGAAGACCGTCTGAAGCTCTTCTATGAAGAGAAGACCGTCTGAAGCTCTTCTATGAAGAGAAGACCGTCTGAAGCTCTTCTATGAAGAGAAGACCGTCTGAAGCTCTTCTATGAAGAGAAGACCGTCTGAAGCTCTTCTATGAAGAGAAGACCGTCTGAAGCTCTTCTATGAAGAGAAGACCGTCTGAAGCTCTTCTATGAAGAGAAGACCGTCTGAAGCTCTTCTATGTAGAGAAGACCTTCTGTAGCTCTTCTATGTAGAGAAGACCTTCTGAAGCTCTTCTATGTAGAGAAGACCTTCTGAAGCTCTTCTATGTAGAGAAGACTTTCTGAAGCTCTTCTATGTAGAAAAGACCTTCTGAAGCTCTTCTATGAAGAGAAGACCTTCTGAAGCTCTTCTGTTGCTTGCACGGTCGACTCGAACATGCTATCGAATGTGATCCGTAGGATCTTGGGATGGTTCCTTGTCTGTATTATATTTCCCTCAAACTGCACATTCATCTGCGTTCTTCGGCAGACCATGTGGTATAGAGTGTGGCCGTTGATTTCGTGGCGGATATTTTCATATTCCTCGCGTGGAAGTATGCGGCAAGCTTCGCGAGATAGGGGCAACGCCATTCATAGCTCCTCACCAATTTCAACTTGTATTTGCCAACAATGTTTTACCTTATTTCTGATAACAAGTTTCCAAAACATAACAGACAACTTCATACCCCCAATGGACTTGCATCATCTTCAGTATGAAAACACCCGGTACCGGTCATAATTCAATTTTAACATCTTTCCGGATTTCTTCATATTTTTTCCTTCACAAACTTTTATTTTGATATCTTTTAATTACTCTCTCCTCAATCTGAAAAACAAGATTTCTATCGCCCTGTGTTATCTTTTCTTCCTCCTAAAACAATATCTGCCTGGGAGAAAACACAACAACAACAACAGCAGCAGCAATAATAACAAAACCAATTAAATCGCCTTCATTGCATCTGAAAATAAAAACAAACATTCATATCTTATACTATACATACATTCGCACGGGTATATTTTTAAAGCTTTATCTTATCAGCAACAACAACAAGCAATGAAAAACAAAATGAAATTCTATACGGTTTTGTTTTCTCTTTGTTCCACTGTCACTTCAACGTTCATCTGTGTCTATACAAATGAATGAAGTTATGTGCAATACGGGTATATATGTATATACTGAGAATACTTACTTACATATTTACTACTAATAATATGTCAATCAAACACTCATGTTGCGCACACAAACAGACACACACACACATATGTACATAGAAATAATCTGTAAACCCCAAATAGAGATCTTCACGATGATGATCTGAGACTTAAATGGGGCTCGCACAAAATATATATGTATTCATACCGACATACCAACATGCCGCATAACTTACATATTTACTGGCTGTCTGTCGGTCTGTGAGCCAGCTTGCTTGTCTGCCTGCCTGACAAACATACACGAACGAATCCAACTAGAATGCCATTGTCATCATTTACTATGCATGCATACATCATAGTTAATTTGTGTACTCTTTCCCACAGGCCGACAGACATTCTTACTCTTCTTGTGTTTCTCCCATTCAGTTGTAATTACTCTCATTGATTAATGGTGGGTTGCCATATTGCTTTTGGATTGGGTTGATCTTGTGGGAGTTTCTTTTAATGGATTTATTATTTTTTTAATGAATAAGTTACCTCTTCGCTGTATGAAAATAAGTTTAGAAAGAGTTAATATCCAAGCTTTTAGGTGGAATATTTTAAAGGCCCAACTAGATATCTAAGTTTGGAGAAAATTCTCCTTCAAATAGGGACTTTTTTAAGTGATTAAAAGCGCAATGGCACAATTGGGACTAATAAAGAGTTTTTAAACCCGATTCATGGCGCTGAACACTCTTTGGCGTATAAGATATTATAATAAGTCCTGATTCAGAATATGGGTGTTTTTATACCCTCCACCATTCTATGGAGAACATATCAAAGGTGAGAGTACATAAAAGCTTTTCTGACTGGTTTATGTCATCGACTGGCTTCTTCGTAGAGAAACAAAAGAGTTTTAGGTTGACTTAATTCGATTTAGGCCCTTCGTTCCCCTATTCTTTTCCGAAGAAGCTAGCCATTCAAAAAAGAGTTTTTTGTACTCTCAACTTAACTTTGTCATTTCGTTTGTAACAAAGTATACATCTTCTGGATCAGCGTAAAATTCTAAGTCGACTTAGCCATGTCTGTCAGTCTGTATGGCTGTCAGTTGTAATCACGCTGTCTTTCGATCGAATTGAGATATAGGCTAAAATTTTGCACACACGTGTGTTTTTCCAGAAGGGAGGTTAAGTTCGGTGCATGTTTTCATATAGCCCCCATATTTGGTATTTGAAGTTCAAAATAGATACTACCGCCTACGACAGAAAATTGTCTGTACAGGTCCACGTCTTCGTATAGCCTCCATATAACAGTATCTCCCAATATTCGGTATTTTAATGATTTTAGCTTCATTATTCACCGGAATTGTTTCAAATTTGGTTTTTGAAGTTCGTAATGGATACTACAGGCTGTGACAGAAAATTGTCTGTGCAGGCCCACGTCTTCATATAGCCCCCATATAACCGTACCTCTCAATATTCGGTGTTTTGATTATTTTAGCGACATTATTCGCCGGAATTGTTTTAAATTTGGTATTTGAAGTTTTAAATGGATACTACAGCCTGTGACAGAAAATTGTCTATGCAGGTCCACGTCTTCATATAGCCCCCATATAACCGTACCTCCCGATATTCGGTGTTTTGATGGTTTTAGCGTTATTATTCACCGGCGTAGTTTCAAATTACGTATTTAGAGTTCATAATGGGAGCTACAGCCTGTGACAGAAAATTGTCTGTACAGGTAAACGTCTTCGTATAGCCCCCATATAACGGTACCTCCGGATATTCGGTATTTTGATGATTTTGGTGACATTATTCACCGGAAGTGTTTCAAATTTGGTATTTGAAGTTCAAAATAGATACTACCGCCTACGACAGAAAATTGTCTGTACAGGTCCACGTCTTCGTATAGCCTCCATATAACAGTATCTCCCAATATTCGGTATTTTAATGATTTTAGCTTCATTATTCACCGGAATTGTTTCAAATTTAGTTTTTGAAGTTCGTAATGGATACTACATCCTGTGACAGAAAATTGTCTGTGCAGGTCCACGTCTTCATACAGCCCCCATATAACCGTACCTCTCAATGTTCGGTGTTTTGATGATTTTAGCGTCATTATTCACCGGGGTAGTTTCAAATTACCAGAAAATTGTCTATGCAGGTCTAGGTCTTCGTATAGGTCCGATATAACGATACCTCCCTAT